TTCTATCAAAAATCCAAATGAAGAAAAAAAAAAAAACAAAACAAAATGCTTCTGTTATGATGAAACACTATTTCGCTTGCCTCCTTCCTTGTTATGCTAATAAAAAATTCTGGCAGGACTTCTTTCGAGGCAAACGGAAAATCGCTGCACCCTGTCTTTCCCTTTGTGAACCGTTCCCACGCACCCGGCCGGAGAGCGTGCATTCCGACGCGGAGACGTCAACACAAACAGACGGCGAGCGGAGGACACAGTCAGCAGGCATTACCTGAGTTATTCCCCTTCTGCTATATTCACGAGCAGAACATCTCTTACAGTTACGTACTGTGTGAGAAACTCTCAGGGTGTCAGTGGCAGTTTGTGGAGTGGTGTCATTACCTGTCAAATATGGCCCGAACCTCTGCATTGTGCGCACTCTCCCTGTGTATCCAATCACAACGTGTTATTACAACGTCATTACACTGCAGTTACATTGTTATTACATTGTCATAAATTTGGCAGTCCTAATACCCGCTTTTTTTAAATGTAGTTCTTGCTCCCGGGGACAGGGGGCAGAGTCCGCTTGTGTTAGGGGCCAGCTCTGGGTGGGAGAGGCGACAGATTTATCAGGCCTGCAGTTTTCGTTAAGCACTGCAGAGAGCAAGTGAAACTCATAAAATGTCCGGAATGCAACATGAATCAGTTCTTAGTTTCAGAGCAGCATATCCTTTTCATCTAAACTTCCACCATGCATCATTTAATAGGCATTTCGCAATGCACAATATGCCTTTTTATTGTGAAACCTGAATCTGAGTCACTTCTTACTGGATGACCTGTCACAAACATAATAAAACATGTCACCCTGTGACTGCGCAGTATGTTGGACGGTGTTACACAAGCATGGAAACTCATGAAGCACATGACGTCAGGGTGAGTTTGCAGGAAACACAGACACTTTGCCCAATCATGGGGAGACTGGAGACAGAGAATCAAATGGAATCAAATGAAATCTGAAGGTTTTTTTGATTTTGAGGTTAAATTGGAGTTTGACATAAATCACAGAGATGACGGTTAAAAAAGGGAAAGAAACTGCATGTTAACAGGCACTGCAAGGCAAAGCATGATGAATGTGGACGTGAGAAGTTGACATCAAAGCTGCATGTACAGCACACCCACACCACACACCCAGGAGTAAAGCACTGGAACAGAAGCCTGCAGCCGGCTCCTGCAAGACACACTCAAATTACTGTGAATATGGAGCTCCGACTGCCACCCCTGCAGTCAGAATGTCCCCAAAACCACGAACAACAGTGCAATTACTGTGTAATCAATTACGATTCATATCATCAGGAGTCACAGTGATATTCCCACTGCGACCATTATTAGATCAGCCTCCTGAGAAATGGCAGTGATCAAGGGATGATGAGACTTGAGACTGCCTCTGAGGAAGTGTGTGTGTGTGTGTGCGCGCGCGCACGTGCACGCGCGCATGCCTGACTGGAAGTTGCTGCCATGAATATATGATGTATTGCACTGCAGCATGCAGTCACTATGCCTTCAGTTACTATGCCAACACAGTATATATCCAATTAATGTGCATTGCAATAATGTGAAAGTAAGGGTACGCTAACCCCAAAATGGGCAGAGGTGACCTGCTGATCTCCACCAATCACAACACGCGGAGAGCAATATCCTTTGATTGGTTCATACAGGTCAGTGAAAGACAGAATATGATACTTCCACCTATAATGGGAAAGCGTTCTGTAAATGTGCTTTCATTAACAGCGTTAACAAGGCTTTTTTAGGGAACACCATCTCAGCACTGGACACAGTGAAATCTCACTTCTCACACCATGGCTAAGGTCTCAAAACTGAGTGCACCTGCCAAAACTGACACCGACTAATTTCCATACAGAATAAGTGACAAGAGGAAAACAGCACAGGTTCAAAGACATAAACCACAACTGTGAATGAAAACAATTTCAGTATTAATGCATTTACATATCTTAAATTACCCCCTCAACCATCTGATCAGTCTCTATATTTAAATGATCAGATAATAATTAGGTAGTTTGACTTGAAGTACAAAATACAAATGTGTACAAAACTGACAATGGTTACATCTGAAACATTCTGTCTGTGGCAGAGATTTTTACAGTTTAAAATGAATAAATGTACTGCCATATCAAAAGCCAAGGTTCAAAAGTCAAATGCCACTTTGCACCTCATTTTCTGAAGCACATTTAAATTATAATTCCCCTCAGTTAGTGTCCATTTCGTACTGAACTAAATTTGTACGAAATGTTCAACTAAATCTAATGAATACTGCCCTCAATGACTGGACTATTGCAGGGTGAACACTGTGTACACTAATACTAATAAATCATAATAATCCTGCCCCACAGTAAAACAGGAGTGCCACAAACTACACATCCATTTTGTGCAGGAAAACAGAAATGCTACCACAAGGGGGCGCCTCTGTAGGTGTGTCAGTGCTGCCTGGGAGAGATGGTGTTTGCCGGAGGTTGTGCAGGTGTGTGGCAGCTGGGGGGGGCGGGGTTACCTGTCGAAGATGGCTCCCACGCCGGCGCTGTGTGCGCTGTTCCTGTGGACGTGCAGGCCGGTGGCCAGCAGGATGCCATCCTTCACAGTGATGGAGCGGTGCGAGAAGGAGGCGATCAGGAGCTCATTCCAGCCTGACACAGAGGAGGGAAGGAGATCAGAGGAGGAGAGTAGGAGGGGAGGGGGAGGAGAGGAGGAGGGGAGAGGGTACAGGCCTTTAGGTCTTTCTCTAGGTCTGATGGAGGAACTCAAACCTGGCCCTCCAGGGCCACAATTCTGGAGGATTTTGAGCCGTCTTAACACACACAAGGTTTTCACAACAACCCTGAGAATGGAAGGTGCTTTAGAGAAAGGGGGAGGGGCTGTTCAAAAGGGGAGTGGCTAAAGAAAATGGGAGTGGTTACAAAATCCAAGGAAGACTACAGAAGGGGAGAAAGGCTATGGCCGCATAGAAAAGGGTTTGGGCCTAACCAGGAAAGAGGAGCAACACTGGCAGAAGCACAGAAAGACCACACGGGAGCAGACACTACGGAAGAGGAGCGCATACCAGCACGCAGCAGGATGACCTGGTCGTCCAGGGCCAGCTCGGAGAAGTGCGGGATCCTCTTGGCCCACTCGACCAGGGTGAACAGCTGCTTATCCGCTGCCTGGCAGATGTTGGTGACCGGGTCGTTGGGCTGGCGGGAGAGAGGGGGCGAGAGGGAGGGTAAGATTTTCACATCTCACAGGGTACAGGCAGCCGCAGAAGTCAAATCAGCAGACACGCAGGTCTTAATCACAGCTGTTGTACAACCCAAAACAGATCTGTAGGGTATGGATGGGCTGATAATGGTGAACATCGGGAACTGGCTCACCCATCCAGATACTTTATAGAGCTGTAATGCTGTGCAAAATTTGGTAGAGACAGAGACAAGGCAGAAACTGAAACACTGTGGTTGGACAGTCCTCTATTTCAGAGTTGACAGAGTAAGAGGCAGAAAAGGAGACAGGCACAAAGACAAAGGGAGAAAGAGACACAGAGAGAAATGGGCACAGAAAGACAGAGAAACAGAGACAGACAGAAAGAGACACAGAGACAGACAGAGAAACGGAGAGGAGCGCAGGAGGGATTTCCCTCTCACCGAGCTGGCCCCTGAGCTTCCATCCGCGTGCAGCTCTGTCTTCTGCTCTACGGCCATCTCGGCCTCCAGGATCTTCTCCACCGGCATCTCCTCGTTGACGGCGCTGGTGGACTCCACCTCCCCGTCCCGCTCCTTGTTCCTCTGCCTCTCCTCCTGCACCGCTGTGGGGACGGGTGGGAGAGAAGAGAGAAACAAGAGATACACACACAGATATATACATTTCCCGGTTAGTTCCAGCCGCTGTCAGGCATTCCTCTACCCTTCCGCTCTCGCACGCAGCCACACAAACTCACAGAAGCAGACCACTCCAACAAAACGCTCGCCGTACACAACCTTGTTGTACGTGTGTGTGTGTGTGTGAAGGTACTAGCAGAGAAGGGAGACAATCAAAAGGGATCTTTTAAAGACAGTCATAAAGGCTTGTGTAGCATGCAAACAAAGTTATAAAACAAAGTTATATCTGATAAATAACAGAGAAACTGCCCATCTGGACTACATGTACAGATATGCTTCAGTTTCAATTTCAATGTAACCCATGAGTGCTGATGAAAGGTTAGATTCCTTCCAGCGACTTCATCAAAGGAGTTCTAATCTACTGCTGTGCTAGATATTATAATCCAGATGGAGGTGGAGTCAGGAGATAACTTGCTCCAACAAATCAAAAGCCTCAAAGCAGTGCAAGTATACTTGGATGTGGAGAAGGTACTGTACTTATTTGACAAAAATCTGACAGAAATCTGGCACTAGCCACGTGCAAATCTGTATATCCATTTTTGGATATGGGGCTTCAGCCTTATTCTCATTGGTCTATTACTGAGAATTAACATGAATTTAATTCTAGAGTTTCTAGACTAAAATTTAACCCCCCAAAATGCAGTGTCTCACAAAAGCGCTCACACACATACACACGCACACGCGCACACACACACACACACACACACACACACACACACACACACACACACACACACACCCTCTGCTCCCTCCCTTGTTCTTACATCTCTGTCGTTCATCTTGGACCACTACAGAAGGAGGGAGAGAGAGAGAACGAGAGGAAACAAAAGAGGGAGAGAGGGAGGACAGGGGTTAGTTCTGACAAATCACTCCCGCTCCTCTCTCTCCCTCTTTTGCTCGTTCTTTCCATCCCCTTCGAATGCCCAGTCCCCCTCCCTTCCACCTCCCTCCCCTGACAAATCAAAGCTTTACACAGCAGTTACACGCCCAAGAGCCGGGCCATGTGCTCCTCTGAGAAGCCAGCACCTGGCCCCTCCAAACTCTTAGTGAACTCTGACATGGTGTGAGGTAGCCCTATTAAGCAGAGTGTGTGGTAAAACTGTAGGCAGCAGTGTGGTGTAATGGTTAAGGAGCAGGGCTCGTAACCAAAAGGGTTGCTGGTTCGATTCCCCCACTGCTGTTGTACCCTTGGGCAAAGTATTTAACCTATAATTGCCTCAGTAAATTTCCAGCTGTATAAATGTATAACATGTGAAACTGTAACCCGTGTAAGTCCCTCTGGATAGGAGAGTCAATTGAATGGAAATAATGTGATGTAATGTAAAAGTTATCCTTAGCATTACAGATTACTCAGCACCTCAAGACCAGAGTTATAAAAGGAAAAGTCGATTGCACAAATTATGAGCCTCGTTATGCACATTAGTATGATGAATGCAGGCTGCTCTTTAGGATGATTGCTCAGCACCATGTGCATGGTCACATGACCTCATGCTGAGTAACCAGCTGTTGCGTACTAAACTTCCTCTTGCTCCTGTCATACGCATTTAATACAGTCCTGCTGGCCTAGTAAGTCCCTCTCGGACTGCTTGCCAAACAAATTAAAAAGTAAACTTATTCCACTTAAAGTATATATATGTATACAAAACATGATACATATATATATAAATATATGCATGTTTTAACAGGGTCTGTATGCTAAGCCTGATTTATGACAGCTCAGTGAGCCTGCTTGTAGTAAAGTGACATGTTACTCAGCTTTACAAACGCAGTGTGTGAGATAACCAGTCACTTTTAACATGCGAATCACTGCTGGAACCATATTTGTGTCTCTGGACAACCTCTATCTGGGTCAGTCTGTATAATCCATAGTTAAGGGTGGGCTTAGTATCACCACTAAGACACTCTGACCTCTGGGGAACTATGAGTAATGAGGTTTAAGCACGCATTACGTGTTTGGCTGAGACTGGAGGAAGCAGGCTTTGAAATGGTGAGGGCTCTCCCTTACTCACCCAGTCACCACGCAAGCAGGTCCTGCGATAGCAGGGCTTTACCACTAGGGGCGGCAGAGAGCGTAAAGGCCCAAAGGTGTTGCAGCCCAAAGTATGAGCAGTGCCTGTCCAGTTCTCAAACACTGAATGCCACCTTGACAATAAACCTAAATGACTGTTCTTCTAAGACTTCTATCTTCTGTGCCCTCTTTCTGACACTACATCTTGAAAGGATGCTAAACTGCACTTCTTGGGTTTCATCTGACATTAAAAAAATGAATGTATATATATAGACTTATACATCTATTCACCTCCATCCCGGTGTGCATGTCCCACAGTGTGTGTGTGTGTGTGTAAGTGTATATATATATATATATATATATATATATATATATATATATATATATATATATATATATATATATGCATACATGCAACTAAGTGTGTTTCAGTGGCTGTACAGTTTCACTGTGTGTATATACTACATGTTTACAGTATTTAATATTATAGTATATTAATATTACAGTATATTACTGTGTTTTTTTATGTTTGTTGGTATAATATCATTATGCTTATACAGTATTTGTACTGTACACACACTATTACAGTATATTAATGTATGTATACTATTAGTGTGTGTCAGTGTAATATTAGCGTGCATACATATATTGTATGGGGATTTAGCATGTTAGCATATTAATGTTTGTATAGCATTAGTGTGTGTGTACAGTATTAACAGCAGGTGCTTTACATGCTGGGCGCTCCCTCTCCCTCACCTTCCCTCTTCATGCCCATGGCCAGGCACTTCTGGTAGCGGCAGTACTGGCAGCGGTTGCGCTGGCGCTTGTCCACCAGGCAGTCCTTGTTGTCCCTGCAGGTGTAGCTCAGGTCCTTCCTCACAGTGCGCTTAAAGAAGCCCTTACAGCCCTCGCAGCTGTACACTCCATAGTGCTTCCCTGCAGGGAGAGAGGGAGAGGGGGAGGAGAGAGAGAGAGAGAGAGAGAGAGAGAGAGAGAGAGAGAGAGAGAGAGAGAGAGAGAGAGAGAGAGAGGGAGCGGAGAGAGAGGGAGAGAACAAGAGAGAGAGAGTGAGAGAGTGAGAGAGAGAGGGTGAGGGAGCAGGGAGAGAGGGGGGGAGGGGGAGAGAGAGAACAAGGGAGAGAGTGAGAGTGTGAGGGGGAAAGAACGAGGCAGAGAGGGTGTGAGGGGGAGCAGAGTGAGATGGAGAGAATGAGGGAGAGAGACGGGGAGCAGGGAGAGAGAGAGGAGAACGAGGGACAGAGGGGGAGAAAACAAGGGACAGAGTGAGGGAGGGACAGAGAACAGGGAAGAGAGGGAAAGAGACACAGAGGGGAGAGGGGGGAATAGGGAGGGTGATGAAGAGGAAACAGCAAAACAGAGAAAAGGAAGTTAGTGTTAAACAGTGAATGGTTACTATACACAGCAGAGGACCACACCCAGATTCAACAAAAACCTGCTGTTCCTCTCCACCTGCTGCTTCACGCCAAATATCCCGGGTGAACTGTACTGCGATCCAGAGGCACGGACTCGAGCCAGTGTTCATTTCACCCTGCTCACGGGCACCGCAGGTGCTACGGCACTGTAAGGGAACCCTGCAGCTGCTGGACCTGGCTACTGCTGGGAAGCACTGCATTTACAACTCAACTCCTACTTCCTGTCTGCTCCTCCGCCCCACCCCGACCCACCCCCCGCCCAGATCCCCCTCTCGCTCCCGAAACCCACCGGAGGAGCGGTCCCCGCAGATGGCACACAGGCGCTTCTGGGACGCGATAGGTCCGGGACTGTGGGACGACAGGGGCTTCAGCCCGAAGGGGGGCTTCACGTCGTCCGAACTGCTGACGGTGTGCAGCCCCGACATGGACACCGTGGAGTTTATCTGCGGGAGGAGAGGGAGAGGGGGGAGAGAGAGAGAGAGAGAGAGAGAGAGAGAGAGAGAGAGAGAGGGAGGGTACAGGGACACAAGGGGCAACAGAGAGGGGGACAGAGTAGAGGAGAGGGAGGAGAGGGGGTAGAAAATGAGAGAAAGGACAGAGAGGGGTGTGAAGGGGAAACAGTGGGGGGGGAGATAAGAGAAGAATGATGGAGAGAGGGAGAGCCAAAAGAAGGGATAGGGAAAGTGTGAATAGCAGAATAAAAAAGGGAGAGGGAGAGAGGGGGAGGAGGAAGAGAGATGGAGAGATTGAAGCAGGACAGAGAAAGGAGTTGGGGGCGGAGAGAGATGGAGGGAAGCGATTAAAGTGCGAAATAGGACCGCCCTGTAAACAGCTGGCATTTCACATGCATGAATCTGACCCCTCCCATGTGAAGGTGCACAAAAGAGACCTTTCAGGACTGAAAAGTGCACATCCCGAGAAACAGCACATAGCAGAACTTTCAAAATCACAACCCTCCCATCTCACATTAGATAAACACTGCCAGAAGTAAATCAATAAGGCTGTGAGCATGTTTGGGGAATCAAAGCATGCACGATTTGCCTGCATCTGACAGATAATGCAGAAAGGCATGCTACAGAGGAGCATCTTGTGCGTTGATTAAATTCAGAACACCAACAGCAGCAATGCCTCAGAGGTCACCTGGCCAGGCAACAGCTACAACATTCTCAATCCTCAAACAATCTGCAATCTGCAACAAAGTACTTCACCATGCAATCAGAGGAAGGGGCCCACAGCGGACGCGTCTCACTAAACATCACCGATTTAGGAGGGTAAACACTCACGGCATTTGCATTTGATTAATTTATGAGGCAGTAGGGGGGTGGTTGGGTGGGACAGAGATAAAGGATGAGAAAGAAAAAAACAACAGAGGAAAGAGGAGAAGGGGGAGAAAAATGAGGAGAAAGCGAGCGAGCGAGAGAGAAAGAGACGGAGAGAGCGCGCAATCCCTCACCTCTGAACTCCTGGAGTATACACTCATCTGCAGAGTAAAAACATGAGGATAAAGAGGCGAGGAGAGAGAGAGGCACAGGAAGGGATGGGCAGAGTGGACTCAGAATGCACACAGAACCCAGCTGGGCTGCTGTTCCAATGAGCATGCTGACTTCAAATGCTCCAGGAAACATTCAACTACACAAATGGATGATATGAAAGAATGTAAACTATGTAAATCTCCCTGGATCAGGGTGTCTGCCATACAAGTCATAAATAATATCTGCAGTATTTTGACGGCCTCTGGCAAGAGGCACTAAACAAAAATTATACTGTATTAACCTATGTATTTGAAATTATTTTGTTTCAGTTACACATCATGCATTCCTGTCTTTGTACTGAAAGGACAAATGTTGTTTTCTTGGGGGGTTAGGATAATATAATGAATAAAATGAAAACCTATGCAAGTCTCTCTGGATAAGAGCATCTGCTGGTAAGTAGCAGGACTAGTAATAGAGAGGTTGCTCATTCGATTCCCCGCTGGGGCACTGCTGTTGTACCCTTGGGCAAGGTACTCAACCCACAGATGCCTCAGTAAATACCCATCTGTAAACATGAATGACATTGTAACCCATGTAAGTCACCCTGGATAAGACCACCTGATAAATTACAATAATGTAATCTAATGTAATAAATGGTATATGATCAGCCCTGGAAACAGAACTGTCTTTAAACCACTAACATATTGGCTGACTGAGCAGACACCCCAAGTCACGGCTTTTCCCCACAAGCTGCTACACAGAACCTTTTCGGTTCTCCTTTTTCTTGGTGCTAGGCAAAAGCATTCAACTCCTCAGATCAAAAAATTGACAGATTTCCCTCCAAAAATCACTCTTTACGGGCAGAAGTCATGTTTGGGGGGAGACAGGGAGGTCACCTATAAGGAAATTCACTATTTTTTTTCACTTCACACTTTTGCCATTTGTACTTTATTTTTTCAATTTTACATACTTTCTTGCTCCTGTGTAACAAATGCACAAAAAAAGCAAAATTCTCAATTTGTTTGTGTTTACGTACGACACAAACATGTAAAGTTTGGTGACCTCTGTGCTCAGAGCTCTGTAAAAAACTCTCCGAACCTGGAGGCAAAACGAGCATGCCTGGCAACCCTGGAGCCGGGTTTGGGCGAGGCTCACCTGCGGGCTGCTGATGGGTCCGTAGCCCACGGAGGGCGTGCCGGGCACACAGGGCGAGCCCAGCGAGGAGCTGATGACGGAGAAAGGCGAGCCCATACTGCTGATGGGGCTG